AAATTACTGTTTTCATTGTGAAATCCTACAACCACCCAGATGTGCGAAGTCTCAGCGAGTCCCTTCCTCTTCCTAAGGGAACACTGAGTTTGTAAGGAAATATGAAAATGGACAAGATTCATGTTTTCAGTTCTACTGCATATAATGCACTTGACTCTAATCATAAAAGCACACTGGCATGTACATGACCATATTCACTGTTTGAGATACATAAAATACATTCCAATTAACACAATTAGGAGGTTTAAAGGTAGAATAAAGGACTTTTCAAACATGGCACCAGTCACTGAACAGGACTCAAACATAGAGGTTGTTTTCTTTTTTCTTTTTGTCAGGGGGTGTTTGGTTTGGGTCTTTGATTCCCCCTTTAAGCTAAAAGTTGTTTGTACCGTGCCAGCATAAGGCTTTTGGAAAAGTCTTAGAGGTAACTTTACATCATTCTTTCCCAGTTGCTACTCTAATTTGCAGGGTTTCTGCTTTCTCTGCTTCATTACAGTTTTAATTATTTCATGTACACAATTGTAATGTTTTGTTTCCTAGTGTTATTAAGGTAAGCTTATCACTTTTGCATTCTTAACTCACTGCGCATGCTTCAGTTGCTATTTACAAAATAGCAAAAAATATGGAAAGAAATACATGGGGACAGCTGGGTTCCATTTTTATTGGCCTAATTCTTTTGAGAAAAATGCTTTGATAGTTTTAACATTCATTTCAGCTGAACCAGTTGGATGAATTGTTGGGGATCAAAAAAATCTTGAGGAATATACTTCAAGTAAAATAATTTATTCTGAAGTAATGCATTAAATAAAAACCACATTTTGGTGGCAACCTTAACCAAATACACAGTAGATAAATAATAACACAAGTAACAAATAAAATTGAGGCATAATATACAATGTGAACCATCGTAAGCTTAAAACAGAGAAATGCTAATTCTTGTAAGTTAGATATTCTTAATTCCTTCTTTCATTATTTTACTTCTTAAATAAAGGTACCCTTAATATTTATGTAGTAGGTCCTATACATGTGATTTTGCAAACTACTTCAAACTGACTTAACAGAGGATGCTCTTCATACATCTTGCTTTCCTGTAGTTCTGCTTTTTACTTTCTTAATTGCTTGGTCATACATTGAGTTAGTTATGCTTAGGTTAATATGGAGCTTTCTATGGCCTATCCTAGGGCATATTCACAGCCTGCACAATGCCAAGCAGTTGAAAAAAATCTCACCCCTCCTCAAAGAGCAAACATTGAGCTATAACTCATTTGCAGTCTAGCACAGAGAAACTGAACGTGCTGACCCACTGTTTCTGTGTTGCTCTGTAGCTGCTTGTTTAGAACTACATGGAACACTAAGGAGAAACACAAGGGCATCCAGCAGCCTTCAGATTTGAAGCCCAATGGTGTCATGAACTATTTACATAACTTCCTTGGAAAGAGAAAGAGGTATTTTCAGAAGAAAGCTCTTATGTAGTCACAGAAGCTGCTGTGTCCCAAATGAAATTCCATGGCAGGAATCCACATGTGGTGACAAACAAAATAATTACAGTAGTTGCTTGTCTGGAGTTACAATACTTGTTGCAACATCATAGCAGAAGCACGGTATGATACTCCCTCCACCCGAGGAACAGTTAATTAAGGGTCATACTTAATAAGTCAACATGTCACATTCTAAGAAACAAAGATTTTAGACAAAAATGGTCTTCAAGATTCCAGAAGTAAACATGCCAGCCACTGAAGTATCCAGCAGCTTAGGAGGAAAATGTGTTCTCCAGAAGAAAAGATGGCTTTTCACAGCTAATCCCTTGTTGAGATGGTGTAGTGTCATCCTTAAAGGTTTTCAGGGACTTCACATTTCTTTCTTCCCTCCTCCTGCCCCTCAGGCAGTTGGACTGAAATCAGAGAGGCAAAGTTGTTTTACCCTTTTAAGAGTTCCTTGCATCCTTAAGTATTAGACTATTAGCTTTTGCAGCATCCATAGCAATACCAGAATTTGATTCTGGCAGTTGACAGTTATGAGAAAGGGCATTGTTCATGATAATGGCTCCCCCTTCCCAGTTTGCCCACATAACATTTCTGCACTGCAGATTAATCAAATTTGAAGCTACTGGTTTGAAAATTTCCTTCCTGGATCTACATATCTCCTTTCCAACCCCATCCACTTCCTTTTAACCTGGTAAGATCAGGAGCAGCACTTTAAAAACAATCTTTGGCTTACCTGGATTTTACCACATTTGCAGGACACTTGCAATATTGTCAGATTATTTCCTCTTTGTTCGTGTATAACTGCACATTTCCAGTGTGCAAATAACATTTAGCTTTGACCAGGTATGCAAAGGTTTCAGTCAGATATTTCCGTGGAATTTGCCAAGCCCATTTCTCTGACTAGGTACAAGGTCATTAACTTTGTATGGGATCATTGTTCTTTTTTCATTGTAAATGACTTCCCAGACCTTCTACACTGCAGTATCTGGACAAGGATGGAAAAAGGGCTTTGCGCTTTCATTTTGCATTGAAGTTTTCAGGAAGCAAAGGTTTCGGCTCGTCTAGTGACAGAATCTGAGGGGAAGATGGGAAGAGGAATAGCATACAGACCTATCGGGGTTTTTTGTTCTTTTCTCAGTTGTACAGCATTCAGCCTAAAAATTTTTTTTTTTGACTACTCCATTCCCCAGAGAAACTAACTAATATATATGGGGGAAAAATCCCTTCTTTAAAGCCAATAGCAGCAACTATGGTATACAATGCTGACAAGCTGAATATGAAACCATATTGCTTTAGTCCACGCAACATGCCAGTGCACGCAGACACAATGACTCTTCTATTGTTTCTGAAAACAAATCCAAGAAGTGTAATACTCTCAAATGAAAGATTTAGAAACAGAGCAGCAAATTAAGTAGCAGAGCTTAGGAAGAGCTGTGCATGCCTTTAAAGTCTGCCCTGCTTTGGGGACAATGGCACCCTTGCTACTAGTAATCACCAGGCACAGTGACTCTAAGTACCTGGAACAAATTGTGTTGACATGGAGTCAACTTAAACCATATGTTATACTACCAACTAAAAACTCAATCTGTTAGATCTAAGACAATCTACTTTCCTAAACAATTAAATGTGCCTTTTGTAAATATGACAATAAGCCCCATCTACTCAGCGTCTTGGGTTTTTTTTCCAGTTCTAACAGTGTTTGTTTTGTCTGTATTTTCTGGTGATCTG